AACGTTAGCTTAGAGGATTTCTATATAAAAGACAGGCCTAAAAGTGGGCCGAAGCGATCCTCCAAGGTTCGCCAAAAATACATTTCATTCAGTGTCCACACCAATAATGAATGGGACAAGATCCTCTCCAAAAACTCGTTCAATTTCCCGCCCATTTAACGGAGCGAAACCGCGGCTGGGCATTGCCATTAAATCTGAAAATGCTGCAGACAACGACGGATTAGCACCGGAAACACGTTTGGTTTCAATCTTCAGTCATAATTTTATGAGCTAATGTAATATGCATTTTATCTCTGTCTGAACTATTTTAAGCAAATGTCCATTCAGTCTGCATTTTGATGTTTATTGACGCTTTATAATTTGCAGTGGCACAAATTAACGTTTCATAACCAAAATTAGATGAGTTACATTTAAAAGTTGGTAGCTGATAGAAGGTAAGGCGTTAAACACGCAATTGTTTACCAAGATTACATTCATTTTGCTCAAGACGACAGTTTTCCCCGCAGTTGATGAGTTGCGCGCTGTTGTCTGGGTCGTCATTGACGTCGGCGTCTGTTGATCCACGGAAGAGACGACAGAGGCCGGTGGAATGCCGTCGAGACCGTTTGAAGAAGGCGAGGCCCTGGCAACTCGGCGTCTCAACACACGATTCCCGACACTGCTCCAAGGAGATGTGACGCTCTTGTCGGAATTCATTAGCTCTTGCGTAAATGCTCAGAGTGGGCTCCACGAGCTTGAAGCATTGATTCTCAGCTAGGTGGAGGGGGTAGACCACAATAAATTTCATGAAACAGAACAGTCTGTATTAACTCTCTTGATGCGGTTTACTACCGCATTTACCTCCAATTTGTATTGTTTTACCAGGCATTCATCGCAAGTCAAACAAAGATGTTGGGAAATGGGAACATTTGGAAATTCATTTAATTTAATCACACAGAAAGTCATTATCCCTAGGTAATGGACTAGACTTTATGAAAGTTGTTAGTACTGTTCTTCAAATCAGCTAGTACATCACCAAGCTAGGAAAAAACCTAAACCAC